GTTCGTATTTGTTTTCGTTTTTGGTTTGTCACTATTGTGTCCATCCTGCAAATCCATGTCAATTGCCCTGTAAACGCCTGTCAAGCTTCGCGAAATGGTACTAGCGTCACTGGAACGGCACTTATATTCTCTTTCCCAAATCTTGACCAGTCATTTTACAAGTTTGACAGGGGTTTACAGGACGCCTGATAACACGGCTTACAGGGTGTTGACAAGGCTCACCGGTTTTAACATGTATGCAGTTTACAGGATTTGATATGCTGACAAACGCTTACGGGTGTTCCCCCCACTCCACCAGTTATTAGCGCCCAGCCGTTTATCGATGTCGTCGAACTTCTGAGAGATAAAGGGATCCAATCGTTGATTATTCTGGTTACTTTTCCGCCCTATGAAGTAAAGTAGGCCAATCGAATTCGCTGAATAGTGTTGTTGTCGTCATCGATGTTCCAGTCGAGGATGCTCGTTATGCGCTTCTAAAAAAGTTTGCATGCTCACGGAGTTTCATCTTGGACGTCATTGCCACCCTGGACGATAATCGTATGACGTCAGCGACTTTGCGACGACTCCCTGTTGAACTCTGCCTGGAAGGATGGTTTGGAGTTCACAATGTTGTCAAGGAAGGAGCTTTTGGATCACCGGGAGAGGAGCTACTTTCGTAACGCCCTTTGGAATAGATGGAAATGTCGCTAGCTCAATAGCAAAAGGCTATGTGGTGATTTATGGTGCCAGTTTATCGTCCGGATTACATTTTGCTGCGGCACGAAAATAGCGAAAGCCTTCCTTCCTTCCTTTTTCAGAATCCATCCATTCGGGAATGCGAGCTGATTTTCGACAAGAAATGACGGCTGAGGTTTTCGTATCCCAGAATCCGTTTGGTATCGAATATCATTCTAGCTGGCTTTAGTTCCCTGTTATCAACAGCATCTTGCAGGGAAACCGGAAAATCGATAGGATAAGCAAAATGCGTGTTGACATCCTAATGCATAAGATGTTTTTTCACGATTTTCTCGGTGAAACGTGATTACTGACTAATAGACCCACTGTGCTAGCTTTTTACATGCGCAAAATCCCGAGAATTTGAAATTGCAGATTTCGATTTCCAAGTATAAAACCTTACATAGATGTTACTTAGGTTCGCAGTTGAGGTGAATTCACAAAGCCTCGAGATAAGACCTCAATCTAGGGACCTATCTAGTACTAGTCGGATTCGAAAAAAAACGTGAACACTGCTGTGCAGAAAAACGAGGCGAAAGGAAACAGGAGAAGTGCAAGCAGCTAGATTGGGCTGTCACACAAACCAACCTAATGGCACACCTGTGTCAGAAAAAATAAGAGGCTCTGGCGGATATAACTCGTCACCAGAGGAGTGAGGCAACTTTTAAGGATGGCGTTCCTCCGGCTTATGATGGCCTCTTTGCCCTTGTCGTTAACTGTAGAGTCATGGGACAGCCTTTGAATGTGGATCGGATCCTTCGTACAAAGCTCTATGGCCATCACGCTGTCGCGAGAGTGATGAATGTCATGCTAATACTGTGACGGGAGGGGGGGGGGACGGGTGAAGCGGCAGTTTCCTTCAGTATGTATCGGTAAATCATTTCTTCGCACGAATGACGAGGGAATTTGGCGCCTAGACTTGCATCAGCTACTTAGTCATCAATCCATGTACTTCAGAGTCCATCATTCCTATGTGCAGCTGGAAGCCAGGGGCTTAAGTCCAAGTTGGAGGTGGAAGAGCGAGGCATGAAGCCCATGGAAATTTCTAATCGTGGACCGTTAGCGGTCGTTGTCTAAAAGACTGGGCACCTGGTGAATTCTACTTCTGAACCTGCACACAATTGGCTTAGTCGTGCTAGGCTTTCTTGGGCTCGATGATGGTGAGGAGAAACTTCAGTTGCCATGACCGTTGAGAGTAGCGATGCTTACTCCTTGTAGAGAAAAACATCTCAGGATATCATATAGTGAGTCTTCCATAAACTTTTGCACTCGAAGAGCGAAGTGTCCTTTTTATTGCTCACCTTGCTCACCCTGTATGGTTGGAATTTATTTCTGCTGGGTTCCCTGCGTCAAGTACAACACGCCGTCCTAAGGACAAACACATTCGAGATCTTAGGGCATCGCTTCGAAGTAGTTTGCTTGAACTCTGCGAGTTGACTCCTGCGTGATGCGATTTCGCAATAGGTTCATTCACAGATGAGTCACAAAAGAAGAATAGGCGGTTCACCGGTAAAGTTTAATGGAATAGCATACCATGTGGTAGCATTGTTCCAGAGGGGTTTGTCATCAACAAGGGAGAAAAGGAAAGGGAAGAGATCATGTTGGTTTCAGAATAGTTCACATGAAAGATAGTGCGGCCTTGACAACCGAATCGGCGCGCGTGACGTGGATTTTGGTATGGCGTCAGCTCGTTTTCCAACAGTCCTGGCCGGATAAAGCGAGCTATGAATGGTGGAAAATGAGCTGGCGTCGGTCCAAAATCCATACCATACTGTCACACTCCGTCAGTTTGGTTGTTGAGGACTGTAACCGTAGCGTTCAAGACCGCTTCGATGTAGAGGTACACCCTGCTACAGTTATTTTGCATTTAATCACGGATGCCCGGGTGCCGTGGAGGAGGGACAGTGGTTTGGCGTTCCCCAACCCTTTCTGGGATGACCCACACCTTTTACATAAGTTCAGAAACGCTACGACACTTGAATGATTTGTTCTGTTCTGTGGACTTATCTGTGGCAGCCTACAGAGCAGGGTGTTTATCCTCCTAGATGAGTCCGGTATGAAATCAGCCGATTTGCGTCCTAAAGGTAAATTCTGGGTCGGATCTTTCCGCGACCGACTAAACCTTCCATCGCTGTGGCACTGCTTGTTTGGCGCCGAAGCTGTTTGAGAAGATAAAAATATTCCCGTGTCTTTAGGCGGGCCCCTATAGGTCACATTGCGTAGCCCAAACGGCTACGCGAATTCAACTGTATGGAATGGCTGCGCTGTTTGTCGACGGGGGGGCATTTTGTATTATCATTGCTTCCCTAGTTCCGGCTTACAAACCTCACTCTGGTAAAACTTGTGCACTCTTGTGAAGCTGAGAAGATCGTATAGGCCACTATCCTAAGACGCTGTCAACGTCGGAATACGGCTGCTAGATGGGTCGACACATCTATGGAAAGCAAAATGCCCCCTCCCCCGCCGACAGACTGCGCCTGGAATGGCTATTCGAATCTCATTAAGATTCTGGCCGGAAAGTAAAATGCAGGGCTGCGTACCAGCAACTGCTTAAGCAATCCCCTGGTTTATCCCTTCATATCGCCTAGAGGCTAATCGCCACGAGCGTGTCTTGACTACCCGCTTCAAGGTAGAAGTGGGGCTGCTTGGTCCACCAAAGCTGCTAAGGGTTTTGTGGGATGTCCGGTTTTTAGACTAACGTATGGTGGGCTCAAAACACTCATTTTAAGACATGTTTCCCTTTTTTTTATTTAACACAAAGACACAAAAGTTTAGTTAAAGCACCTGCTCACCTCGTCCTAACAGACGTTCACGCGCTATCGTCCGAATTTAATTCTATGCAATCACGTTAAAACAGATCTGTTTCAAGTCTTTTCCAGGCTCATGTTACAGTTCCGTGCGCAGCTTGTCACATACGATTAGTTCGCAACTGGGCGTTAGTGGCTGTATGAACAGATAGCGATTGAAGGAAACATTACCAAAGAAGGGATATTCGGGTATGTCATGCAAGACACGCTGGGAAAAACTGCTGCTGGGAAAAATTACAAAATACGAGCTCCCTAAAATTCCTCCTCTGGTGTGAGTCCCTTCTCCACCAAAAAATACCTAACCCTACCATATTCCAAAATTTTCCCAACTTCCCACTTCCTACTCCCTTCAGATAGAAAAATAAGGTAGAAAAGTTGGCTCCGTCTAAGCGCGCTGGAAGGGCGGGGGGGGCAAAAAGTATGAACGAACTGTCTTTACTTGTTTACGTTGATGAAGTTCTGATACATAATCTAGCATGGACTCTTCCGACTCTTATTCCCTGATGTGGGTACTCTGTTCTCTCACGTTCGCATTTAGGTTTTTCATGCGATTCTAAGAGCTCATATAATTGAGAGATTCTCTAATGAGGTCTCTTGGAATATCCCCCTTTTAGTTCTGCAAATCACGTCGGACTAACTTTTCTTTCCGCAGGGAGAATTTGAAGGTTATACGTTCAACACGCCGTGCGAATCAGCCTTTTGCAAGCTGCAAGAAAAATAATCGGGGCGGTTGTTACGAGGGTGCTAGCCCAAAGTAGGTCCCCAATTCAATATGTTACATGTTAAAACATGCCACGATGTCCCACAACCTGTCAAAACACTTTAATGGCGACGGAATCGGCACTTTATGTCGTGTACCCCCTTTTTTATGCCTCGCCTATACCATTTATTTGTTTTTTGAAATTTCTTTGCTGTAATGATGGAAATGTCTTGCTCAATCCATAGGTTGTGGAGGGGGGGAGGGGGGAGCGTCTTGTACTATGCTAGTTCATGCTACCCACCTGTACTCTTGTGAAGCTGCAATGTGGTACTATCATGCCTCTTTTACCCAGGAATTTAGTACGTATATCGTACAATGGTACCCATGTTACTAGCTGCTGAGCTACTAAATTTGGCGCCTCCACCAATCCGGACTGCGCCAACTTTTGGAAGTTTGATAATCTGTTGTTATGCTCTTTGTTTAGCGTCTGTTTCATTATTTGACTTGCTGAGTAGTCAAAATCGGCGTTGACCTTTTCAGAGCTTTACTCTTGTGCCCCTTCTTCCTACCAAGTGTCATTAGGTCTGCCCATTATGGATGGGTGCGCAGATACTGCGTTGAAGGTCTTTTCCAATAAGAACGCTGATCATATTTGTCCATTGGCTTTGTGGGGTTTCTGACATAGGAGGCCTTTGCTACGAATATTTTTTCGATTTTTTCCAGAATCATTTGCCAGGGCGAATGATGAATTGCGCGGTTCCAAGCAAGTCGAGTTTGCTTGCCCGTACTACATTTTGCGACAAATTTGAATGAACTATGATTTGTTCGTCACGCCTTTTGTTTTTTTTTGCGTCTGCGTCGGCGAAAAACGTCCGTGAGGTGCTCTCTATCTTATGAGTTTTCGGTGATTCAGAAAGATTGATATACGAATTCTAGGGCCTCTGCTTATCTGCAAATGCATTTTTACGATCAGTAGACGTGCGGGTTAGAATCAGCGTACATTATTTCAGAGGATTCCTTAGCGAGAGAATCATGTTTGAGTCGCATGGGAGCGGGGAGGGACTGTCAGCACGAAGCGAACCTGCCAATGTTTGTGTCAGCTCCAAATGTCAACTCTCCATAAAGAACACCTATAAAATCTTGTAAAGCAATGAAATACCATACAAATACCATTAACCATGGTGCTCGACGAGCTTGCTCTGGCTTCACAAGAGTTCACAGGTTTCACCAGAGTGAGACTTGTAAACCGGAACTAGTGAAGCAGCGAAAGTGCAAAATGCCCCCCCCCCCCAATCACAGCACTCCGCCCGAAATGGTGCGGAAATTAGGGAGGTGTAGTGAGTTTCACACTTTCTCGTGTATCCTGGTGCAGTTCATACCGCTCCCATTTCCCCATCCCTCTCCTTCAGCGATTGCTTGGAAAGTGGAGGTAAAAAAATGAATTTGTGAGGAAGTAAGAATTATATGGGTTGGAGGGAGTCATACTGGAAGCAGCGGTGCTTTCTGGACGAACAATTTTATCGCATTGTCCTCACATGCCCTGTTCAAAAACGTTCTTTACCAGAGGTCCATTACTCACCTCGGATATACTGGAAACTGAAATTGCTCTCTATCTCTTATCTCTATTTCTCTCTTCAATTTCACGTAGTACATTTCATTTTTAACAGCTATTTCAGATTCGTACGTACTTATCCTTACCATTTAATGCGGCTTCCCGCTTGGTTGGAGGTATAGCGAATCGGGAGATTCCCGTATGGTTACGAGAACCGCTACTCGGATTCTTTGCACGTATGTATGACTGTCGAATGGATGAGGCTGTTATGCCGGATTTTCGGGTGAGTTGACGTTTTCGAGAATATTTTTTCCTACAAGTGTTTTTTACATGTGAAATTTTTTACTATAAATACACCTCCCTGTTCGAAGAAGCAGCACAAAAATGGCAGGCGATCAGGGCTATACGGGTCGAAGTCAGCTTCTTTCTCTATAAAAACCAATGCCAGCGACGCCTTCTTGGGATTTTGTTTATATGATTTTGAAGGCTTTCACATAGTTACTACCTGGCTGGGATGCAAATTTCATGACTTGTGAGGTTGCACGCCTAGTTGGGCGTCAATTTAGGGAAGTTTCTTTCACATAATATTACATTAACGTGTTGGAGCAATGAGGGTACAAGTGAAAAGTCAAATCCAGACGGTCATACCATAATTTACTTACATAAGATCTTCACTAAAACATCTTATTATTCCTTTACTTGTTCCCGGATTCGTGAGCTCGGCGACAGAGGGCTACTGTGCGTCGTGGTCTGTGGGAGGCTTGATTTAAATGCTGATATCTGTGATAGATGTTGTTTGTTTGTTATAAAGAAGCGGTGTCAGAAATTTACCTATCCACTGGAGTATGGGCGCAGGAAGCAATCGACATCACCAGGCATTACAGCGCATTCCATAACGGATTCCGCGATCCACGTGCTGGGTGGTGATGAACTCGCTTTGTTTCCGTATCATAAGAAAAAAAGACCCGCCACCTCTACGGGAACAGGCCACCGTCGCTGTTCGGCGAACTGGCAGTGATGTCATCCATAACGAGGCGATCATTCAACAGTGCCCAAACTCGTGGACAGGGCGCAGTCGCCAAATCGGCAGGACGGGTTATTCACATTTTAGTGTGTGGGTGAAGATAGTTAAATTGGTGTAATCAAGGATTGATTTTATGTCTTTATATCAGTAATTGAAAAATGTATAGTCGAGCAAGATACCTGTTCGTGAGTTCTTTAAAGATCTCCATAAGCGAGGTTTCTACTGCAAGGGCATATTTATGTTGCCTGAAAGGAACACCAAGCGAAAACGGACATAGTAGCAGGGTGGAATGTTTATCAGCAGAATGCTGTGCTATAGGCGGAAAGCCTTGACCCAACGCGGGAATCGAACCTGCACCTCACACCTATGGGCTAGTGCACTATCCGTTACGCTACGAGCTAGCTCTTATTCTCTCGTAGCCAAGTTCATCAGGGATATAGATCTAATCCAAGTCTCATGCTAGGTAAAAGCGCACAGCTGCGAAGGAGGAGACGGCCGGCATATGGAACTTGGTGTAACGTTAAGGACCGGGGCGACCCGCACTGGTTAGTCGGAGACTTTCGCCATAGGCCCGCATTCTTGAGTAACTTCCGATGAGAACTTTATGCGCTAAATGCAGTATATGTAACAAACGTTAGATTGTCTAAACAAAAATGTTCTTTCAAAATATCAACTGCATGGCTGTTATCGTCATTGCGTAGCGTTAACAATCGATTTAACCTGGCATTATCAGTTACTAGTGAAAGTTCTATGGCGAGCCCACGTACAACGTTGTGGTAAGTCTGAAAATTTCATAGTAGCCCATGTGTACTGTCGACTTGATTGTTAGCTACGTTGTTATAGTTAAGGAGCTATAATTGTGTTGTTAACAATAAGAAAAAATATGACATGGAAAAGGGAATTCTCATACAGAATGGCCGTTTTTCGCCCGTTCTCAGACGAATAGGTGGTATCCGTGTTTCCCCTTTTGTTCACTTGTGTGACTTCAGCGAACTGATCAGAGAGTTCTGCAAAGTTCCACTGGCTCAACATAAGACCTTACTCTATCCCAGTGGCTGTTCAAATTTACTGAACCCCCCCCCCCCCATCCTCGTTCTGAATGCACTTTTTTGCCACCAATTATTGGGGCAATTTGGCAGGCCTGGTCCTCCACGAGAAAGCCCGCCTTGTTATCTAAAACTAAACTGGTCCAAGGGCAAAGTAATGTTCGTGACTAATTCAATAGTTCTTTTCAGTCATATCCGTCGTTTGCGGCCTTTTTCAACCGACAGCTGAAAAAGGAAGTCCGACCAATCAGCGCTAGTTCATTGGCGAGTTTTTTTTTCATCGAACACTTTTCTTCTCTCGATAAGAGTTTTGTCGATATATTTTAATTTATGATTTTTTTCACTTTTCTTTTCTCAGGTATCACCAGCGGACGGAGTGGTATTACATTATGGCAAGGTAGAGGATGGAAAGATTGAATATGTGAAAGGTCATGACTATGAGGTAGCATCGTTCCTCGGTGATGTCGAGATGACGCAGAGGGTGAGCGAACAGTTTTTACCCCTTAATTTCCTTTAATTCTGATTTCATTTTCAACTATTTATCGCAGCTGTTAAATATCGAACGTAAAATCGGCGGATCGCGGAAGTGGGAGAATCAGTTCTGCGTCTCCCCGGTCGTAATCGCTGAGATGCGTCACACACCCTCTAACTGGTGCGTGTCTGGTAGATGCATAGGTGGAGCAAGCTCGTCCAGCCACCATGATAAAACCTGTCAACTCTCGTAAGGCTCTCTCGATGGCTCGACACGTCGATGGGAAGTGGCAAAAAAGCAAAATGCCCCCCCCCCCACACCCGAACTGCGCCGTCGCCGATTATTTGATTCTTCTATATGCACTGCTTTTCGCGGTTTCTCCAGTTCTCTGAATTCCGGATTCCCAACATAGATGGCAAGAACTCTTCCAGCCTTCGAAATGATAACAGTCCTAAAGTGACAACGCCATGGAAGTTGAGCTGCAGCCGCTCGGGCATGTGATGAGACAACCGTTATCCGCCACGCCGGTGGGTGTCGCGCGCGACGTCGCGCTCACAAATGACGATGTTTCTTGGATGTAAATGGCTACAATAGACAGCCAACAGTCATAAATGCCGTCGATGCCTTTACTCTGTTTTGAACTGCCAAATGGCGATCCCCTTTCACTGTGAGTTAAGCGTACTTTTCACCATTAGTCTGTCAGCGCAGAGCCCAATTCAGCCCGTGTCAACGTCAGGACCCAACACCCGTCACTGTAACCTCAGTCGTAGGAGCGTCACTCTTTTTGACGACAAACTATAGTTCAAATCCTTTTCAATAGGACCAACCTTACTCTTTTCCCTGCGCTCACTCTAACCTTCATGCTGTTCTGTGACCGCTCTGACCTCATTGCACATTTCAGCCAGTTTCATGCATTATAAAGTCATACATGCCCGTGTCCTCTCTTATTTGGGAGGAAATCATCTCTCCTAACTTGCGATAATGGTGTTTTGTACCTCTCGATCCCTTGCCGGGTTACGTGACATACATTGAAATGGGCATAGGTCTTACTGCGATAATTCTGACCGCAGACTTAACAGGATAGCAGCTGCCAAAACATCGAAATATCGCAAAAAACGTGACTAGTTTTTAGCGGAGCAGGTATGGCTTTTATCAAGGAGTATCAGTTTTGAGCCATTATCATGTGCGAAAAACTGGATCGTCTGAGGTCACAATGACCGCAGCATGCTATACAAACGAGAGAGTGCAGAGAAAAACGGAAGATCGACGCGTTCAAAGGGATTAAGTTCAAGTTGTACGTAGACCACTTCGTCGGCCGCACATCTTTTCTCTGCGCTCTGGCCTTTCGCAGCAGGACCCTCTCTACTCTCTCTGCGTCTGCATCTCTCAGAGCGACACGCACTTTCTGTGCCTGTTGGTCAACTAGCAAGAAAACACTCCGCGTCTCTGCCTCGATGCCACATGGGAAGTAACGCCCTACACCCATATAGGACCGCAAGGAAGTGGAATTTTCCGAACAGCAAGTTATCATTTGCATCACTGGATCCACAAGCCATTTTTGCTCTTCTCTGATGTTTTAGAGCCGCTCAGGAGAACTGAGCCCTACTCACATATCCCACGTACGTTCTGGAAAAGTTTCCTACGTGCTGGAGGACCTCGAAAGTCGCAGCAGTACTCAAAATATTGTAAAATCACTGATTATTACCATTGTAAAACAAAATAATAGCTTTTCGTAATGCAAATGCAGACACGCGATAAAGAATGTTGTTATTCAGGACGAACTCGATCTTTATCAAGTGGTCATATACCTTGCACCGGGTAACTATCATGCTTTCCACTCACCTACGCGGTGGGTCGCAAAAATGTGTCGTCATGTGCCAGGTATTCCATCAACCAATTCCTACATTTTATCAGCTTTTGCTACTTTCACTTTTAATTTGATTTTCAAGGTCTTCTACTTTCCGTCCGTCCATCACTCCTCA